TATATATTATATAAAATATTTTTTACTCCCTCCTATCAGGTATTTATACATATTGATAAGCTCCCCTCAAGGCTTGTCTCTTCTAGGCTGAATAACCCCAGCTCTCTTAGATTCTTCTTATGTGACAGATGCTCCAAGCCTTGCCAGGTCCTCCATCCTTTCTTGAAAATAGGAGTGACATTTACTTTCTTCCAGTCCTCAGGAACCTGCCTCAGTCACCATGACTTTCAAAAGTGAGTGGCCTTGCAGTGATGCTGGCCAGCTCCCTCAGCACTCCTGGATGCATCCCATCAGGTCTTATGGGCTTCTGTATATCCAATTTGTTTAAATGTTTACTAACCTGAACCTGAAGATGAGGTCTTCATCGCTCCAGGCTTTCCCACTGGTCTCAGAGCCCCGAGATTCCTGAAGGCTGATTCTTATCAGCAAAGACTGAAGCAAAGAAGGCACTGAATACCTTGGACTTTTACATATCCTTTCTCAGCAGATCCCTTGCCCCATTCAGCAGCATGCTCATGTTTTCACTAATCTTCCTTTTGCTGCTCATATACCTGTAGAAGCCTTTCTTGTTCCTCAACAGATGCAACTCCAGGTGGGTTTTGGCTTTTTCAACCTGTCTCTTCTTCTGGGGTAACCTGACCCAGACTCCACTTGTCTTAAGATCTCATCTACTTTTTCTTCCTGAGCAAAGCATCTATAGCAGACACCCATCACAGCATCGCCCACACTGGTCTGCCCTCTAATTCTGATCTAGAAGCTCTCAGCTGGCTCATTGTCCAGCCTTAGGTAGAGCTCCATGCATTTCCCTTGCTCTCTCACATAACAGTCAGCTCTCCCTCCTTACCTGCCTGTCCTTCCTAAAGACTCTGTGTTCATCCTTCGCAGTACTCCAGATGTGTGAACTACCCCACCAAGTCTATGATCCCAATGACATGGTAGCCCTGAAACTGCACGAGACCTCTAGTTCCTCCTGTTTTTTCCCCATGCTGTGGACATGTGTGTACAGGCACCTCAGAGAGGTGCCCAGTCATGCCCATTTCCCAGAAGAGGTATGAGAGTTTCCCCCATAGTGCTGCCCTCTGCGTTTTTCTTTGCAGAGATTAGAAACAAATAATGTAAGGCATTACTCTGGGGCAATCCCTGCAACACGGTTGTATCATCGCTCTTGTTTTTGGTTAGGATTCAATGCCAGTTGCCCTGGCTATCTCTCCAGCCCTCAGCTTTGGCCTTCTGCTTCACTGGGGACCTCTGAAAGGGACAGAATGCCAGCCCTCAGGGCCAGCTTCTGCTCATGGAGCCACCAGGTTCAGCATGGAGATGCACTGAGCTGTGTAAAAGTAACTGTCCAGATCTCACCTCACCTACACATCAGCCTACGCTCCCAACACAGAATCGCTTTGCACTGCTAAGGATCTTCTTTGCCAAAGAAATTATTGCTTTGTACGTGGAACAACATTTTAAACCCAGCCAGCCAGCACAGGCCATGCCAGTTCACAGATCTTAGATTGCATCTTCGTCACGTACAGACAATAATGAAACGCAGGGAGAGTGTTCCCACAATAATACACCGCAAGCATCACTCCTGCCAGCACCCGGTTCCTGTCTGCTGGGCAAGGGGCAGGGGATGGGTGAAATGCTTAGGGACAAAGTCCTGGTAATAATGCTACAGCTGGAGGAGAGACATGGCTTCCCCTGTGCCTCCATGCATTTTGATGCCTAAAATGCGAATACGTGATTCATTCTTAATTTATGCCTTTGAGGGGAGTTATTTGCTACTGTCTGGATTTCAGATGTGGATAAAAATAGATTAGTTAGCTGTGCTTTTATTTTTTGTATTCGCATTTTCAGATTCTGATTTCTGTCTTCACTCCCCCCATGTTACATAAGAATTTACCAGTTAAAATTATTTTAGCAAAAGAGATATTGTATTTGATGTATTTTTACTGAGAGGAATGAGTATGGAATGATTCTCTGCTTCATGTAATTAACTCTAATGACATTCGGTTTAAGTGTTCTGTGACCTCAATTTTGCTTCTCTGAACTATATAATATGACCTAATTTTCCCTTCTCTCCTTTTACCTTTACATAATGAGTGTCACATCTGGTATTCCTGAGATTCAGAAAAAATTAAGAGTTTAGGGAGATCTTAAAAAAGTGATGTTACCAAAGCAGGAGAGGAGAAGGGAGGAGAGATGTTGCGAGCACTGGGGTTCCTCGTGCAGAGGAGGGACCCGAAGCATGGCTGGGCTCAGCCTAGCAGTTGCAATGAGTAAGTGACTGCTTTCTGGGTCCTGAAATTTTTTTATTTGCCTAGCATACCTCCACCAGACCTCTAATTCCAGAAAACAGAGTAATTCTTGTGATGACCCAGACCCTACAAAAAGCCACTGTCGTTAGAACTCATCTGCTAAAATTGACATCAGTAATACTGAGCATCATGTGAAAGTCCAAGCTGCTGAAAACTCTTACCGACACTTGTTTCAAACAGGCCAGATGATCTGGATGGAGTCCCTGCAGTGCATGCTCTATCTCTGCTCACCTTTGCTTCGCACTTTGCATGAACTGGAGGAGCGACAGATGCATATTGCAGACATTGCACCTCATGATGTGACCAGGGATTTGATTCTTCTCAATCAGCAGCGACTGGCAGAGATGGAGCTTTCTAACCAGCTGGAGAGGAAGAAGGAAGAACTGCGGATACTGTCGAAGCACCTGGAGGAAGAGAAGAAAAAGACTGAAGCTCTGCTCTATGCCATGCTTCCTCAGCACGTGGCCAACCAGCTGAAAGAGGGGAAGCGCGTTGAGGCAGGTGAATGAACGGGATGCATCTGTGATGCATGATTCGCGCGCCAGGAGGTGGTGATAGAGAGACTGGGGTGCTGGCACAGCCCCATTGCCACTGTCGTGGAGTATGCTCTCTACTTGGTGACGTTCATGGGTAGGAGGAGGACCACAGACCCTTAGTCTTGCTGATAATAAAGATTAGACTGTGCTTTCAAACAAAGCTTTGGAAGATGTTTGCCAAAATTGTTCCTCAGGAGGTGAAAGCGGGTAGCAGCTGCCCATTCAGGGAACAAAATTCAGTGTTTCAACAGTAAACTGAGGTTTTGGTTTTAATATGGGTATACAGGGAAATGAGGGCTCAAAAATGAAAGGAATAAAGAAAATGATCTTTCCTAGAAAATTGTCTTTGTTCCTCTATGCTACCTGTAAATCTAGAATCATCATGATTGCCATTGTTATTAAGGATAGCAAGTAAGAACGTGCTTAATTTCCCTTTAGTAAGCACATATATGAAGTTAGGGGTAAAGAGCTAAGTATGTCCTGAATATATATGGACAAAGAGATGTATTCAGATGTCTGGATCATTTGAGATGTGGGATGATTCTTACATTTGATATACTCTTATATTGATGTCTCTCTGTCATATCAGCACCCATATATGAGTATTACAACTGATAGGTCATATGTCCTAAAAGAATGATGAGACAGTAATCTTTGCAAACATGTCCCAAACAGATGTCGTGATTGCCTAGCCAATACGAGTACTTAATACTGGTCTTTCTGCTCACAGGAGAGTTCAAGGAGTGCACTATATTGTTCAGCGATGTTGTGACCTTTACCAACATTTGTGCCCAATGTGAGCCTATTCAGATAGTTCTCATGTTAAATTCAATGTACCTGCGATTTGACAGACTGACCACAGTGCATGATGTGTACAAGGTATGTACTGATTGATAAAGGCTGTAGAAATAGTCTGGAAAAAAATGTTGTTATTGTTTGGGGTTTTTTTGTTTTTAAATGCACTTACATCCTCTTCCTCCCAGCATGATTTTAGATTAACCATAAAATATTTCATATTTGTAGTGGCCACATGGAGAAACTAAAAAACAGGCAGAGGTGTGATTAAATAGGTTTAAAATTTTCAGACAGGAATATAATGTCTATCATGAGCTAGAGTCTCTTTCCACAACACTAACACCAGAATGGCTGTTCTTTCATACATCTCTCTCTCCTCTCTCAAATACCTACCCAACATGACAGAATATCCTAGTTTATGGACCATTTTGAAAATTTTTTCTAGTTCTTTTATTCCAACCTGTTGTAAATAGATCACTATGTCAATAAATGTCTCCTTTGGTGGGAAATAAGATTATAAACAATACCCAGATAATACCTAGACTTTGTTTTGCTTCATGGACATCTTAGGCAATGGTGTAGACCTCCTGCTGACTCCAAAGAGCATTGATTAGATCTAGATTGTAATGTATGTGTTGTCTCCAAACTGTGCTGGAAGGATCAGAGCCCTGGTTGACATATAATAATAGCACTATTAGCATCTCCAGAGCTACCCAGATTTAGAGCTGAAGAGCAATTCCTAAGTTTCTGTCTGTCCCCAGCATCTTAAATATTTAGGAAGGCAGAAACAGTAAAGGGTGAAATCCAAATCTCATTCATTCCTTGCTCAGCCAAAGTATGCAGTTCATCCTGCAATAAATTCTACTGGGAAATCAGAAGTATTTCTGCCTTGGCAAGGAAACTGTATTCAATAATTGAAGCATCTAGGATATGGGACACAGATTTTAGGATAAATTAGCATCACATTCTAACTGAATCATCCATCATGAGTAAATTATCTGTCACTATAATAATCTCTTTTTGATGCCTGTATATAACTGCTATTAATATTGAAGAAGGTTACTAGGGTACAGAGAGGGAGGATGAGATTACTATTTCAGGGAATCGGGAAAGAAATGAAATACTGAAATTGGTCAAAGAAACTTGGCCCAAGCTTATAAACATCTGAAGTTATGAATAAATCTTGTTAAATTAAATCTCCTACCACGGCCAAAAAATAATTAGGGTATCTACTTGCATTAGTAGCTTTTTACAGTTGCTTTTAATTTGTTACAGAAAATTACTAGCATTACTATGGGGTTGGCTATCTGATAGAAAGCATGTACAGGAACACATTTTTTGAGACTAATGTGCTGAACAGTTTGAAGTCATTATGTTAATGAACAAACCCAAAGATGAAATTATTTTCCCACTCTCCTATTGGTGTCCGTTTTTCAGAAATCCAGTTAATCTAATTTAAACTGATCTATTATTTACTGATGGTAAATGTAACAATGAAGTCTCAGAAGAGCAGTTTAGAAAATTTCACCATGTAACAGTCTTTTACAGTGAATTTTAAACATTTGAGAATTCTCTATTTCAGACAGGCCTATTCTATTCCCAACAAAATTTCTGGTACAGGGACAAACCCCAAAGTATTTCTCAGGTGCCTTATCATGCACTTCAAGGAGACTGGATGCCTGAAGGAGGACAAGCCCTTCAGCATTTGTCTTGCAGGCTGCAGCATGTTGTGGGAAAACAGCTGGTTTTATGGAAGGATGCTCCCAAACTGCTTAGTTCACGCTTTGCCTTCTCTGACATCCTGGAGGTTTCTTAATTTCATGTAAACCCCTTAATAATAATCACGAGCTAATAGATTGCCTTGCTTTATTGTGACTCTAAAAAAAATAAATCTGTTTTTAAGAAGAAATACGCTTTTAGCACCAGTTGTGAATTAGAGCTAATTAATAGCATTCAGCTATCAGATAACCTCCTGGCTCAGCAGGCTGTGCCTGGGGGTAGCTCTTTGCATATAGGTCTGCCCTGGGTAAGAGGAAGGCAAAAAGTCTGACACTTTCACAGCATCCCTTACTCCTTAGGGTCTCTCACACTGATATCTAAAATGGGTCAAGTAAGTAGGGACAGAATGCATTGAAATTTTTAGTGTGGAGTCAAGGAAAGGATCCCCATCTCAAGGAAACTCACAGATGCTAGAGCTCTATAGGGACTGGAAACATCTTTTAGAAGAAAGGAGGAGTTGGTGCAGGTAAGAAGAGCCCCAAACAGCAAAGCACGAACCTTACGAAGATATATATGGCATGCTCATATGCTTGTACCTCTCAATTAAAGGTGGAGACAATTGGAGACGCCTATATGGTAGTAGGTGGGGTCCCTGTTCCTGTACCCACTCATGCTGAGAGAGTTGCTAACTTTGCCTTGGGGATGATAATAGCAGCTAAAGGAGTACAGAACCCAGTTTCTGGAAATCCTATCCAAGTAAGTTGTTAACGCAAAGATGCATGTGTGTCTGTCTGCTTCCTGGGTTGGGCTTCTGGTTAAGGTACTGCAGTAGGACATCAAAGAGCTGCTTCTGACTCCTCTGTGGCTTTGGGCAAGGTCCACATGGGTATATTTTTTCATGAAGACCCTATCCCTGTGGATATTTGATATTTTACTGGTGTCCAGTGTTGTGTTAGGATGAACTTTTAGGTGGCTGGATAGCATTAAGAAAAATGTTAAATAACAAGTGATATTTCTGGGGGGTGTTTTATGTCTTTGTAAAGATTAGAGTTGGGATCCATACAGGTCCTGTCTTGGCCGGAGTTGTTGGAGAAAAGATGCCTCGTTATTGCTTGTTTGGAGACACGGTGAATATAGCTTCCCGGATGGAGAGTCATGGTGTCCCAAGTAAAATTCATCTAAGTTCCAGTGCCTATCAGTGAGTAACTATGATGGAAACTTTGCCTGTTAAAAGCTGTGCTAAAAAACACGGCTTTGACAGCTGCAGCTTTCAATGTAGATAGGGCTGGTTTTAGTCACTGATTTATGGAGCTTACTTATAAAGAAAAATCACTGCTTGCAAGGAGTTTTATTTGTTCTGATTATTTCTAATGTGCTTGTGTATGGAGACAGAAGTTTGAGAGTCTCGACTGAGAGCAAAATATGGGAAAAATATAATTGTGGTAGCTTATTTGGAAGTACCTATAGAGTGATGTAGATACTAGAAAGACAGTCAGAACATTAAATTTGACATCCTGCATAACAAAAGCTTTAAAATTTCTCTGGGTGCAGCAATTTGTGGTGAAACAGTTTTATTTGCACTTACTAAGGATTAACTGCATAAACCACTATCCTGTTTATGCAGTGAGTAACTTCCCTACAACTCATGTCACTAAAAATTAAATACTACCTTTTTGATAATTTTATGTATGCATAAAATATGTATGCAAGAGGTGGAAGTTAAGACAAGCGACAAAGGAGGGGTACAATAACATTGTCTGGGCACATAGGAATGATAATGAGGAAAGCCAAAGTTCAACTAGCATTGAAATGGGCAAGGAAGGTTCAAAGGCAGTAAGAGGAGCTTCTGCTACATTAGCAGAAAAGTATAAATGGAAACGTGGACCCACTGTGGCAGGTGATTTAGTGACACTGCCCTGAATAAAGGCTGAGTTACTCAAGGCCTCTCTTGCCTCAGTCTTCACTGATGAGGTCTTCAAGTTCCCTGCACCTAGAGTCAAGGTTCAAGGAGTAGGTGAAGGACCAGTATTGGAAGAGAAGGCTGTTAAGTCTCATGTCAGTCCCAGTGAAAATCAAGTCCTCTGAGAAGCCATTTTTGCACACATGAAGAAAGCAATTAGGAATAGCCAGTCTGGATGTACCAGGAGTAAATCATGCTTGATGAACCTGATTGCCTTCTCTGATGAAATGACTGGAGATAGTTCTGTCTAACTGATATTGGCTGTCTCAGTTCTTAATTTTTATTTCTAGTCAATAAAAATCCTGCACCATACTCAAGTATTTGACTATGTGATCCATTCATTTTTGACCAGACTGTACGCGTAGAGCCATAAACGCAGAGCAGGCTTGCATAAACAGTTGAAACAAACCCTCAGTAGTTCACAGATCAATACTGTTTTTCCCAGACTGTTGTGACTTGATTACTTAGATTACAATAGCTCTTATAAAACATCAGTGTCATTTTTGCTTATCTTGAGTTTTCATGTGTCATTTTGCTTCTGATATTTTAGATGCCTAAAATACAAGAATTTTGAGATGACTGAAAGAGGAGAAATAGAAGTAAAAGGCAAAGGGAAAATGCGCACATACTTCCTCATTAGAAATAAAACTGCAACTGAGAATGAGATTATGGGAAGGCCAATGAAAGACTTAGATTCTGGTCATGAATCTGTTCAGTCCTTTCAAGAAGGCAGGACTGAGACAATACCAAGTTGTCATCAGCCAGGTAGAGCCAGCTCGACATATCTTTCCATCCCTGAACAAATGAACGTTAGTACAACTCAATGAAATATCCTTTTCTGTTCTTCTTTCAGTCACTCAGACTCAGCCAGAGAAGGACCAGAGCCCAGCCATTGCAATGAAGTATATTGATGGTCCTACCGATGCACAAAACAGCCTCAGAAGAAGAAATCAAGCAAAAATTGCAGATTTAACAGGTAGTTATTTAATTACTATCTAGGAAAGACAACAGAACTAGGAAGTAACTGAGGCCTAATCTTGCAGCTTTGATATTTTCCTCTTATGAATAGCCATTGTTCTACTCAAAGTCAAAAATTCATGCCAACATATCCATGTTGGTGAAACTAACCATTCTGCACACTGTTTAGGGCCAAACAAATTCACCTTCAGAACAATCCCAGGTGTTAATTGTGCACTAGGGAGAAAGAAGCTGACATAGCTGTCAAACCGCAAGAGTCATAGAATCATAGAATAATAGAATGGTTTGGATTGGAAGGTACCTTAAAGATCATCTAGTTCCAATCCCCCTGCCGTCAGCAGGGACACCTTCCACTAGATCAGGTTGCTCAAAGCCTCATCCAGCCTGGTCTTAAACACTTCAGGGAGGGGGCATCCACAACTTCCTTGGGCAACCTGTTCCAGTGTCTGACCACCCTTACAGTGAAAAACTTCGTCCTAATATCTAATCTAAACCTTCTGGCAGTGCGAACAGATGAAATTTAGACAGCTCTTCCCATGGACAGACCCAATTGTTCACGTACACATCTTCTCCTAGAAAAGCTGTCATTATTTGTAGTTATGGGGAAGCTCTTATCAACTCATGCCTGAGAAAAAGAGACCTCACTGGCTGTGCAGCCTGGCAGTCCCCAAGCCAGTCTCCTGCAAGAGTCAGAAAGATTTATTGTCATGCCCATGTTCTGTGACCAAAGTTCATTCTCCTTTGAAGTATCTAATACTGAAAGAGAGAGAACTGATTTGATGATGTAACAGTCTAATCTAATGCAGCAAGTCTTGTAATTCCATTTATGTGTTTTGTGGATTTTATACAGACTAAATATGTTGTCACTGATTGCTACAAAATATTTTACTCCCTTCCCTCCCACCTGCTTAGACGTGGTAGTTAATCTAGTATATGGTGTGCTGACAAACAGAAACCTCCATGGTCATTAAAAACTCGTGTTGAAGGAGTGTTTCCTTTCAGGCAAAACTCACGATTCCAGAAGTGATGGGAGTCGCCATGGCAACCAGCATGCAGATGATGGTCCTTGTCCTCTAAACCAGGGAAGAGTCAAACCTGCTACTGAAGAGCCACAGATTAGAAATGTTCGCTCTAATTTTTGCACTTTACTCTAAATTTCTTACTTTTTACATTAAACAGAGCACTTTTATTATGATTTACTGCATTTTGCTGTTGTGGGACTGATTTTGTATATCATGTACTACATGATTTTCTTAAAAAAAGAAAAAAGACATTTCATCACAGTTTTCAGCAAAAAGAAAACAATGAAGGATTTTTTTTTAATCAGTCTACACATAATACTCTTACCAGAGAAGGAAACCACTGCCAGATGCTATGAAAACATATTTTTCAGCCTCTGCCATGTCTTGAATATCCCTACATAAAAATCACTTTTTGGTATCTCATGCAGCAGTCAAGAAAGGGTGACTAATCCAGATAGAAACATTCCTACTCAAATGAGCACTTGCCATTAAAAAAACTTTTCGTGAAGTGACCATCTGTCTTGACTTCAGCACAGCCAGCAACCTTCCTGTGTAAGGTTAGCAGTTTGATCTACATTTTAAATGCGATGACAGTTAGATGTCTTAACAGGTCTTTTGTTGGGGAGAGACTTTATGCAGTAGAAGTGCAGAATAGATCTGATACAACCTGTATTTTCCCATCCTGAGGAGACAATATTGCATAATTTATAGCACAAAACAGTAAAAAACCCATCTGCAACATCTGCACCAGCTGTCCATGCTCTGCTTAGAAGATCATAGGAGGACATGCACATAGTAGAATTACGTAGCATCGAATTAATCACAACACGGAAGGCTTCTTCAAGGCCTATGAACTATTTGAGACCTTCAAACAAGTTGCAAGTCTATTTCTCATTTTCTCACCCCAACTAAACAAAAATTAAGTTTCAGGACTACAGAGGGAGCCTGTCAGTGCTGGAATTAATGTTAACATAATTGAAAATAAGTGTTAAAGATCAACATCACTTACCTGGTGTCAGAGGCTCCTCCAATGAATTACTTCCATGCTGATATATTCTTAGATTATGCCTGATCAGAAATGGCAGAGAAAATTTGAAGTTCAGCTGTCAGGGATTTAAGATGTAGGAGCAAAAATACAATGGATATAAAGGTTGTGGAGAACCTGGCACTTCATAACTTGTCCTCTCACTCCTCTAAATGGATCTTGGAGTAGGTGGAATGTGCTTGTACTGGGTGGCTTTGACAGGAGATGTCCCCCACATGCTGATGTATTACGTTTGGACATGGATCCCTTGTCTAAGGATGCACGCATGAGACCCATTTGAACTTTGAGCAAGAACTCACCAGAGAAGATGATAATGTTACTCCCCTGTTACAGTCTGGAGCATCACATTTCCCCCTCTGTGTCCACAGCAAGAGTGAGGCTCTTTAAATGCCAGACAGAGAGGTAAGACTGATGAAAGGCATCTCCTCCTCTCTATAGTATAACAAGATGAAATTTCACCTGGTTAAATTTTCTTTTTAAATATCTGAGACAGTAGCTCCCTTCTCTGGGTGCTCTGTGGCTCTGTCTACTTTGGCCTATAGCACAGACCAGTGGAGGAGGATGTGTAGAGTGAAACCATCAGTGCTGTTGTCTACACCAAAGATATTTCAGAGGGCTTGCTAGTGTGGTCCCATGCACCGAATACCCGTTAGCTTTTGGAGCACCTTGTAAGCACATCTTCTGACTTAATTTCTTCCAGAAGAGACCCATTTGTGTGCTTTGAGACCACCACAATGTGAAACAAAGTACGGTAAGTGGGTCTGACCAGGAAACTCACTCAGGAGGGTATTCCTGACTCTGAAATGCTGATGCAGATGCACCCTTGACATTAGCACTTGCCATGGTCAAGCTGAACTGCACTATTGTGGAAGAGTGCAGTTTTATGAATGTGAGGGTTTATTTATTTATAAGGATTTTCCTATCTAGGCAGTGTTCATTATTTTGGTGAGGGTGAGCTCTACTGTAGGTTGAAGATGAATCTAAGGACTATTACTGTTAGGTTGGGTATCAAGATTTTTAAACATTTGACTGTGTGCTACCCTCAGATACACAACATCTGAAATTCACTGTCATCCTTAGTAGCTGCTCCCCACTGGTACAGTGCTCATGGCTTTGCACTTCTGTATTATGACCATAGCTTTAAAAAGACTTTCCTAAAGAAAGATAATACCCATTTTCTCTCTCACTTACAATGATGTAAATGTGAAGTAACAGTTAAATCAGCACTATCCCACTGATTGAAGTCGAGAATCAACTCTCACAAGACTTTTTTGTCTCCAACCTAGAGATGTATTTCACTCCTCTTGACTGGTCGTGCTGATGGAATGGCGAACACATACTTAACAAATGACAGGGGTGGACTCCGTCTTTATTGGCATTCGCTGTGGAGCTATAAAGCCACTTAGCCCCAAGCACAAGTGTGACACAGGAGTGTACATCTCTCAGCGTCCCATGCTAATGCAGAAGGGAACCTCTTACTGTCTCAGCTGCTCTTGCAGTCCTGTACCTGCGTGGCTGGATACCACTGAGTACCTCTCTGAAAGAAAGAATTCCAACTGGAAATTGTCCAGTAAGCCTGGCTATCAGTGAATAGGGCTTAGTATACATTCTAGCATTTAATATATTCCAGAGTGGTTTTAGGTAGAAGCCCAGAGCTCCTCTGGATTTATAGGGATCCTCTTGGGAAGAAGAAAGAAAAGGACCATGGCTTAACTGCTGCCTGCATCTCTCTGTCCAAATTTTAACACATTTTGCTTATATCTGCCCTTTTTGCACTGAACTATCTATGAATGTTTAATATTGGAATGTATTAATTGCCAGTAAGTGCTCCATGGTAAGTTACTTCATGCTATACTGTGGTAAAACTTATGTCTCAGTGATTTCTCTGTGGCCTCTGCTTCAGTCTGGTTCTCTTGGAGATGCAGAGCTAGGCCAGATCTTCACAACTGCTTTTAAAAATTAATGTGCCTGTGCATCAACATGTGTTCTTAAATCTGTGGGCACTGCTAAAGACTGCAAAAATATATTTCAAAAATACATCATTCCATTAATATACCAAGTGCTATTTGTCAATGACTATTTTGATTCCTTTCCCTCATTTCCCTTCCACCTTTTCTGTTCTTTTACCTTGTAAGTATACAAAAGTTTAAGACCATTATACCTCTAATAAATGTCCAGTGAGTTTAATTTCTTGACCATCCACAAAGTTATATGTATTTGTGTGACATCAGAATCCACAGCCCACTACAACTGACGTTGTCATATGCTTACTACTAACGCAGTGTTATTGTCAGTGACCTAGCCACATTAAATTGACACAAAAAGGGTGGGAAAAGAGAATTCCCAGTGCTGCTTTATGGAAGTTGAGGCTTAGAAAACTTGTCTAAAGCACATGGATTCCCAAATCCCATTAAATCTGGTGTTCAAACATGAATTGTCAAAAGCTTGGGTACCTTAAATGTCTAGGAGCCAGCTTTTCAAAGACGTTTGTTGTTACTTTGCTAAGTGAAATCAATGGGATTTAGGTACTTAACTGAACACATATACAGTGTCTAGTTTCTGACAAGGAAGCTTTCTTTAAAACATTTAAGAAGCACTTCCCTGTAAATGCCATCACAAAATGAGCTGTTCAGTAAACTTTCCAAACTGTAACCTCATTTGCTGGAAGTCATTGATTTGTTACTTCTGACATTACAGTGCAACTCTGTATGGACCCACGTTGAACATAAAAATCCCCAAATAAAATAGTAGTGAAAATGAAATTATTACTTCATTGGTGACAATATATTAAAAATGTACTTGAATGTTGTCCTGGTTTTGCTAGGATAGAGTTAATTTTCTTCTTAGTAGTGTTTTAGCTGTGTTTTGGTTTCAGTGCAAGACTTGTTATGAGAAGAACATTGATAAAAGTACTGATGTTATTAGCTGCTGCTGGAGCTCAAGGCCATTGTGTTTGGCTGGTTCACAGCTGCATTAGGACTGGGAGGGAGAAGCACAGTGAATAGCAAAACCCAAAACTGGCATTTAGGTGTGCCAATGAAATATTCCATATCGTATCCCGTCATGTTTAGTGTATTAACCGGGGCTGACCAGAAAGGGGCGGGGGGATTTGTGCTGGCTTTCACTTGGGCTCTCACTCATCCGGGATTGCGGTTTCAGTTCGGGATTGTTGCTCCTCCGGGATCATTATCTGGGAATGGGCCAGGGCTTAGTCGGTGGGTGGTGAGCAGTTGCACTGTGTTATCACTCATTTGTATATTTTATTACTGTTATCATTATCACTACTATTTTAATATTAGTGTTTTTTTAAAAGAAAAAGTTTTCTTTGATTTCTATTATTAAACTGTTCTTACCTCACCCTACAAGCCTCCTTATCCTTGCCCCCAATACTCTTCTCTATCCCCTGGGGGTGGGGGGGAAGTGGGTGAATGGCTGTGTTGGCTGCTAGCCAAGGGCTAGCCCAGTGAAACTATCACAAATGTACAAAACATGGGGAATTTCAAAATGAAAAAAGAAGCACAGATTTGTATACAACATCACGGAAAATCCAGAAGGGATTTTTTTTCCCCACGCGGTCTCTGCTTTCACTTTTGAAAGCTCAAGCATTTAAGAGTAGACAATGACGTGAAAATCTTCCTTAAAGTTATTGGTACAAATATCTACTATTCATGCATTCTCCATACCATATTCAATCATCAGTGCTGCTGATACATAAAGAAGTAGCAGTGTGCAGTATTTTGGTTCAATAAATACTTGTAATCAAAATAAACACGTGGGACACCATCTTTACTCCTGTGACTAGAACTAACAAGCACACCTCATTTTTACAAGCTGTTTGTAGTTTTCTCTCACATTCATTTTGCGCCTGTTTGCTGAATTTCTGCTAATGATTTTTAATCCAAGCTGTGCTGAGAAGCCATTCCTGAAAAATTCTGATACTCACAATTCTTCCTATTTTGACTTGGTTTACAGCCTTTAGTCTCTAGCTGGCTAAACACATCAAATCAGAAATGGATTTGCAGTCAGATTTTCATACTGATTAGCACTTACTCTCCCCTGCACTCCCTTAGAGGTACACCCCAAATGGACATTAACAGTCATTGCCAAGCTTTGCAGAAATTCACAGTAAGTTTAACTGACTCTGTAACATCTTCTTAACTTTGCTGTAGTAGTACTGCGAACTTTTAAATTTAAAATACAGGGAAAACCTCACAGGCTCTTTAATAGCTCTTAGTTTGTCATGTACATCAAATACCTTTCTGGCAAGGGAATCAGCAAACACAAGTGGTGACACGGTTTCCACTTTTTGTGACAAACACATCACAACCAGCTTCAACAGCCTGTTTACAGCAGTCCTAAGGTAAGGGATCCTTGAGACATCTTGTGCAGAAGCTACTTTGAGGAGGTACCTTTGCTGTTGTGTGACTTCATCATGGTGTATGAGCTTCCAGGCAGCTTTGTCGTGGCTTCCATTTCCACGCTGAACATGGGGCCAGTGACCCGAAACACAGGCTGGGTGATTCTCTGTGGGCATCTTGCCAAAGCATTTTGCAGGAAAGGAACCTGACACACAGCTATCATTTAAGGCCAATTTATCTCAAGATTCAATGGGCCTTTAAAAATTCACCAGCTCACATATCCTTTTCAGTGATGGCAGTTAACTGTTTTGTGCTCTGATTTTGTGGGCTTTTGAGGGAACCTTGCTTTTCAGCATATGATGACATATCCATTGGTAAGAGGAAACTAACGGCCTTTACTTTACCCCTGGAGAAAAATGAGAAAGTATTATGAGGATTACAAACATATAAAACATGCAAAGAAAATAAAAAAAAAATCAACAATGCAGCAAGCAAAAGATAAATGCTTTCAGCACTTGCACGCTGCAAGGAGGCAGGATTTCATACCCCAGTGGCACAGGGTTCACACACTCTTCCCAAGGGACCAAGTGTAGTGTTGTTTGCCTGCCTGTCTGCTGGAAGCATCTGCCTCACATCCATCGAGCCTCACGTCTCTCTATGGGTGCCTGATGTGTGTGTGCATATGTACAAAGCTAGCTGGGTACAGAACCCTAAGGGTGCAGGTGCACCCACATGGACCCAGGGGTCCTTCACAGGCTTTATGTTTATATGCCTCAGTACCCAGCTACTGCAAGCAGGTGTGAGAACAGTGGTTTCCAAGCGGTGAGCATGCGTGTGGTAAATTACACCGGCTGTGAAAGCAGAGGGAGAAATGTGTTCCTTTACGTGTCCCAAAACCGGTTGGTTTGGCAGGTAAATGGACTGGGTTTTGCAGAGCTTTGGTTTTTGTTCTGACTGTGGTCTGCAATTGCTGTCAGCTGACTCAGGCCCTTGAGGAGCATGAGAAAGGAAAATCATGAAACTATGAAAGTATTTACTGATGGTTACTGGGGGGTGTCCTGCAGGGCAGAGGACTTCCACCATTTCCTTGCCCCTTCTCACCTGCCACTTCGCACTGTCCAACTGGAAGGTGAAACCATCAAGCCTGAACACTCCAACGGTCACATTTATATCAAACAGGCCTTGTACCTTTTATAGTTTTACTATAATAGCCCTGAAAACAGTTCTCAGCCTCTCTTACCCTGCCTAATAATTCAAATATTTGGCCTTTTTTATTTACCAAAAAAAGTAGCAATCATGTGGTACAGATAATGCTTTAAGATACATGAATGAAGATGTTGTAGACATGCAAATCAGTGATGATTTGCCAGCAGTGCTGTTATTTTATTACTTGGATGCAACTGCAATCTAGATAAATTCAGGGTGATACATTGTACTACAGAGTTATTTTTAAAGCAAAATTATTCAGCATCACATATAGGATTGTAGCTTTGGAGCAAAATGGGAGAAAACTACAATAAACAAAGAATGGGGAAACCTGACACAGCCCAGCATGCTAGGAAACCAAAATGTCATCACTGTAAAAAAAAAAAAAAAAAAGCTTAATTAGCTTGCTGAGCTCATTGCCACAAATTATCTGACTAGTTAAAAGCTTAATAAAATTGCTGTCTGTGTTAGACCTTTGTGTATATAAATAGAAACATCCACTATTATGACCAGAAAATATATTAAACTTCCTTTGGTGTAGGAAACACAAAGCTCAGTGCTTTAGGATACCACCCAGCCTGTGGCGGGAGTTAGGTAAAAAGCTCTTTCCACAGCCATTTCTTCTTCTAAAGCAGCCAACACAAGGTGGACATGAGTCACGCTGCCACTCACTGCTGTTCAGAGCTGACAAGGCAGCTCTAAAGATAGCGATAAAATAATCGTCACCATTCCTTTGGCCACTGGGTAGCCGGTGGTTTCAAACTGTAGGTCCCAAGGCATTAGTTGTAATAGAGCTACATTGCTATTTTGATTGCTTTGAAAGTTCTCTTTCCCCTTATGAGAAAGCAGCTGCATTTGCCATTGCCGACCCTACACGCTGTGTTTCCATGTGAGCCGGCTTCAGGGCAAATCTCTCAGAAGCATTTATGTGCACCAAGTCTTCGTTTCCCTGAACCCAGTGGAGCATATGCTGAAATCCAGAGTTACAGGGTCAGGGTGCTGTTGAAAATGATATGAGTTCCCTGCCAGGGACTAAATTTAAGTGTTCAAATGCTGTAAAACATCTGACCCTCAAGTGTCCTTACAAGAAAACCTAGGTGCCTACAAAAACTGATTTGGTTGTCCCCTCCAGCTTCTCAGGGGGGAGCTGGGCTCCTAACGGGGTTTGCACGGGGAGCATGAGGGGCTGTGCACTGCTCTGCTCCGAGGACACGATGCTGGGCGAGGAGGGTACAGAGTAAGAGCTGACATGACGTGATGTGCTATGCAGACGGGTACATCAGTGCAGGCGACAACCCGCTACAGCTGTGCAGCCCCCGAGCAGAGGCTGCCAGGGTCCTGCCCTGGGACACATGGAGATGGGCAGACCCATGGACTTCTTGTTCAAATGCACATGCTTTGAGGCCATTTGAACTCTTTTTCTTTGAGCACAGCACGAGCAGCACTAAACCCAACCATCTACATGGATTCCCAGGAGGTGACTGGGGCCATCATCTAGCACACTCTCATTATTGGTGCTTCTACCTTTGATTGTTGCTCTGTGTTGGAAAGCTTCTCATCAATGAGCAGAGGCCCGCAGGGCTCGTCCAGCAACCATTTCACTTAATTTAGAAGCTGCCCTGAGAATATTTTTCTCAAGGCTGAAAGCATTAACTTGTAATGGGAAATATGATACAGTACATGTCAATCCATAAACTATATTAATCACACTTTCAAAAGCATAGTTCAGAGTTCCTTGATATCTCCAAGCTTTCTGTTCAAAGTTTAAAAATCCCTTTCAAGCTTAGCTTGTCAGAACAACATATCCATCTGCAAAACTCTGCCTAACTTTAATGGAGAGAAGATCAACTCCCTTCCCTCTCCCCTCAGCCTCTCCTTGCTATAGTAAATTTAAACTCCTAACACCAACAGTCTTCACGTATTCCAAGGAGGAGGAGGATAACTTACCCAAAAGATGTCTCCCATCTGCTTAATGCATATGTACATTCGAACAAAGATTTTGCTGATAACTAACTAAAACACAAAGTAGTGCCCATACAGGTTTTTAGGTGAAACCTACAACCAGCCCAGGCAGGCAATGCTGTGAAGGCAAACTGAACCTACCTGCACTTGCAGACCTGCTCCTGAAACAGCTCCAGTTTGCTGGAATGACTGTAGGAGAAACAGTTGGCCGGCAGTTTTTCAAGCCCTTCCTCCTCTCCACTGGTGAGCTGTTCTGCAGCCAGAGGGGCTGGTGGCTGGGCACTGCCTGGTGTGGCCAGTAGCCCATTGCTTGGTGGTAGCCTGTTGCTTGGCGGTCTCCTGCCAGCCCAGTGCGACCTTGTGCTGGAAGGAGCGGGTGCTGGCGAAGTGGTGGAGTAGCGCCGCACGGTCATGGCGGTATCTGAGTAACAGAGAAAAAAGCAGAGCTAGCAACAACAATAATAGCAATAATTCAGATATCCTCGCTGTATTTTTAATCACTTTCTTCTGGCTCAAAAAAGTTCCATATGCAGGAAGGGCAAAAGGCAGAGGAGGCCAAACAGCCCCTTTGGATCCCATTCTTTTCCCGAGAAGACAACTGGAAAGGAAAAGCCACAAGGTTGGAAAGAACTTTGCACATCTTTAATTCTCCCCAAAAGACCAGTCTGCTGTTCCCAAGCTAATAACATCCATAGCCACCAGCAGCCCCCATGCAAGAGGCCCCCAGCTCAGTAACCTGATCGTGAGGCACGCTGGGCTTGGCAGTAGGTGTTACTCAATCACAGCACTCAGCTAGCTTCACCTAAATCCACTGGTACTCTTCAGCCTCACTCATTTTCATAGACTTGTCTCTGTCAGAACTTGTGGGGGCATTTCTCCATGGCCCGGTAAGTCAGCCACCAGACCCTGGATGGTAACAGCAGCTGCAACTGATAACACACACCATACTAATGCCAAGAAGCTGCATTAGTGAAGCAGTTTTCCCATGGACTGAACATGACAGACACCAGAGAAGGAGGTGACAGGCCTCTAGCACATACAATACCCAACTGCCTGACCCTGACAATAACCACATCCAATTCTAGATAACTACTTCTCACCAAACAACATTTTGCTCTAATCCCTGCTCCATTAAAGCCTCCAGAAGTCCCAACCAGACTTTATAACTGAGGAATATTTCCACTTTTCCCCTCTGGCAAAATTGTGAAGAGAGTGTTTTCCTATATATTGTCCCCTCTCTCCCTCAGCCAAAATTAACCATATGTGGTGGGTTGACCCTGGCTAGAGGCCAGATGCCCACCAAAGCCCACTCTATCACCTCCCTCCTCAACTGGGCAGGGGGAGAAAAATATAATGAAAAGCTCGTGGGTGGAGATAAGGACGGAGAGAGATCACTCACCAGTTACTGGCACGGGCAAAACTGACTCAACTTGGGGGAAAAAGCAAATTTACTTTATTAGCAATCAAAACCAGAGGATAATGAGAAATAAAATCAAATCTTAAAGCACCTCTCCCACCCCTCCCTTCTTCCCGGGCTTAATTCCTTTCCCGATTTTCCACCTCCTCCCCCCAGTGGCACAGGGGGACAGGGGACGGGGGCTTAAGGTCAGTTCATCACACGTTGTTTCTGCCGCTCCCTCCTCCTCAGGGTGAGGACTCCTTCCCCCACACCAGCGTGGGGTCCCTCTCACGGGAGACAGTCCTCCACAAACTTCTCCAGCGTGAGTCCTTCCCATGACTGACAGTTCCTCATGAACTGCTCCAGCATGGAGCAACCCAATACACCATATTATCTGCAAAAATAAACTGCACATCTGGCGTGATGTATGCAGCCCATTACTATTTGTTACTATTTATAGAGTTTTTCTCATCTTTTACTAAGGCAAGAGAGGTTATGGCACAAATACAACTGTTGGTTCTTTTCTGTCTAGAGCAGACAGGGGACAGGCATGCGCAAGGAAAACTCAAAGCAGTAAATCAAATTCTGCTTAAATAAAGACAAAATGAAATTTTCTAGCATCAAGAGAAGCGTGTCCAGCAGGTCGAGGGAGGTGATTCTGCCCCTCTACTCCACTCTTGTAAGGCCCCACCTGGAGTACTGTGTCCAGTTCTGGAGCCCCCAACATAAGAAAGACATGGACCAGTTAGAACGAGTCCAGAGAAGGGCCACCAGGATGATCTGAGGGCTGGAGCACCTCTCCTATGAGGACAGGCTGAGAGAGTTGGGGCTGTTCAGCCTGGAGAAGAGAAGGCTCCAGGGAGATCTTATAGCGGCCTCCCAGTACCTGAAGGGGGCCTACAAGAAAGCTGGGGAAGGACTTTTTATAAGGGCAGTTAATGACAGAACAAGGGGAAATGGCTCTAAACTGAAAGAGGGGAGGTTTAGATTAGATATTAGGAAGAAGTTCTTCACTGTGAGGGTGGTCAGACACTAGAACAGGTTGCCCAAGGAAGCTGTGGATGCCCCCTCCCTGGAAGTGTTGAAGGCCAGGCTGGATGAGGCTTTGAGCAACCTGGTCTAGTGGAAGGTGTCCCGGCTGATGGCAGGGGGGGTTGGAACTGGATGATCTTTAAATTCCCTTCCACCCCAAACCATTCTATGATTCTGTGATCCTGCACGGGGAGCACAGGTGGGTGCCACGGATAGCCCTGGCTCTGAGGTACCTGTCTGCTCCTTCGGTGCCAGAAGGTGACTGGCCATGACACTCCCGAGCAGGGATGCTGGAGAGCCAGCTGCCCCTTCCCCATCACTGTCGAGGCTCCTCACATCGCCGTTCCCACCTCCTCTTGCCACCTCTCTCTCCGGTGGCACAGCTCTCTGCCCGCAGACCTGCAGCTCTCCCCTCAGGGCTCTGTTTTCCCTCTCCAGCTTGTTGATCTGGGAACGCATCTTGCGGATGACCTGGAGGAGGTGCGCGTTTCCCTCCATGGCTCCACAGCACGGCTCCCCGCTCCCCACCAAAGCACCTGCCCTGTGGAGAAGCTCCCGAGCGGGAGGCAGGTGGACCCAGCCCTTAAAAGCCTCTGGAGAAGAGGAGTCCCTCCCCACAGGCAGGGCTCGGCCAGCTCCCACCACCAGGAGGGCTGGAGTGAGTTGTCAAGTTATTTAGAGAGGGCCCATGATTTATTCATTTGGAGTCTCGTTTTTCAGAGCAGAGCTGGCTCTTACACACTGCACAAATCACTGTCAACACAGTATCACTGCATCAGCGGAAAACCCTCCCACTCCCTCCCTTGCCATGGGCTTTGCCTTTCTCTGACATGACAAAGGAGGACAGAGCCCATGTCCTTTGGTTTACCCAAAAAAGCCAGCAATTGACTCCATGGCACCGGGGATGGGCCACCCTTCGCTGGGCAGTGATTCATCTCTCCCTTCACACTGGGTGAATTACCACTGTCGCTCTGTGCATCTGGAAAAGAATTAGCAATTTGTCAAAGGAAAATTAAATTTCCAAACAAAAGCTGATGTGATGCCAGACCCCAGCTATTACCAAAGTATGCCAACAGCTGTGATGGACAAGCAGGTAAACTAAAGCTCTCCTGAAACGCCACAGCAGAGCCTGCTGCCCTTCCCGGGTGCCCAGGGAGGCTTGCTGGAGTGGAGCGCCTGCACCAGCATCCCGGGAGCGTAAGGAGAGACAGAGCAAGCATGAATCTTGCATTAGGAAGGGAAACACAATCCTCTGTGCTGCTCTCATTGCCTAGTCCCTAAAGCAATCTTTCTGCTGGCAGTAAAATACAAAAACCTGTGGAACATCCATCCCACCCCTGCAACATCAAAGTACAAAACTGAAAATGCCAGGAAGCCAGCAGGAAAATCATTTAACACACCTTTTGCTTTGAGACCATTCACTCTCCAGTAGCTCAACAGTGACTCAGGAATATCTGAGGAAAAAAAGACCTTTTAGCTGTGTCCACCTCACTGCTTTGCTGCTGGCGGCTGTGGGAAGAAAGGAAAGCTGGTGTGAGATGCTCAAAACAAGAGATGACTCAGTTTTGCTTTTTCCAGAGGGTATCAGAGGAGGGCTACTGTGAGGAAGCCATCGGGTCTGCGAGGAGGCACTGCCACCCAGCAGCTACCGGGAAGCTGGGCAGAAACTACTGAAACTGAGAGAAAAACAGGGATGCAAGTGAGGAGCTTTGCCCTTGAGCATGTTCCCATGTGGGTGCTGCTGCCTCCTCAGGAGCAACATCCTCAAAAAAAGCCCTTTGTTAGGACGACGTGGTTCCTGTAGCTCACGCTGTGCTCGCTCCCTCTCACCTACAGCAACACACGGTGCCTAGCGAGGGCAGGCAGCACTTGCTGTAAGAGCCGCAGGAATACACAGCTATGCTGATTTTTCCAGTGACACAGGCATAAGGCTGGGGACTGGGAGTCACAGGAGTCTCAGGCAGCCCTGCTGTCACCTCCTGGGAACCTCTCCAGAGACCTCTGTGTAATGCAGGCTGCGTGCAGAGTTTCCAGGCTGCAAACAAAGCCCACAGCATCCATGGTCTCTGACGGAATCACAGGGCAAGGGGAAGAGCATGTCCGGCCCTGCTGTGTTTCCCTGCCCGCTGTGGGGCTGGCAGCAGTGAGGGCTTGATGTGCTGGCATTAATCTTGGCAAAGCCCCTGGCAGGTCGTGGCTGTCCTCTCTAGCCCATCCAGATTGCATCAACAAGAAGCATCAGTTTATGCTGAGTTTTTTTCCTCCCCTCCAGAGAGGTGCATCTTGCTGAGGGCATAACAACACACAAGTGGGAAGGAGTGGGCAAAGCTGGGCTCAGAAATGAGCTTAGATCCAGGCTTAAATAACAGTGCAGGTATCCCCGTACTGGGGAAAAACTGCTGGAACCAAAATACAAAACTTCTCCGTTTTGGAGTCATCCAAGGATTTCAAACATAGCAGCAACCCCTCAGCATTGGTTTCAAATTTATGTTTCCGTTCTCCAGCCAGTGGATCAGGTACTGGAGCTGCAACAGGACTCACATGTAATTGTAACGTTGCTGCTGGTCCTGCAGCTGGCCAGTTAGGACGGGCAGGTGACGCTTGCCAGCTCAGCCATTAGCTTCCCCTGGCTGCAACTGAAGACATCTGCTCCTCTGATCCCATGCCTGCTGCTCCACTGGAACCAGACCAGAGCTGGCACACCCTTTTGTCATACCAGAGACATACCAGGAAATTACGTTTGTCTTGTAACCTTGTAGTGCTGCTCCTGCTGCAGTTCCTGCCCAGAGACTGACGGGCAGTGGAGTCAGGAGTTTTGGACAATGAAAACCTGGCAAAACTAAATTTGCCACTGGGCTGGTCAGTACATTCCCTATAAGCAGACAGAGCTCCATACATACAACGTTGTATTTGTATGTTTGGTGGGGTCCAGGAGGTGTGCCTGCACACCTGGGGCAGGGCTGGGCAGCTGCCGGGTGCTGCTGCTCCACGTGCCATGGGTGGGAAACATGCTCGGTGCCTCTTAGCCATGACCCACTAGCAGGCTGCAGATTTTGCCTGGCCATATGTTCAGTGTACCTTCCTGCACCTACTACAAACACCTATAGCTGTGAAACACTTCAAGTCATTTAATAGAAGGGACAGGGTTTCGCACACCTGAGCTGCTTTGGCACATTGTGCTCGGTAGGACATGGACCTGGGTAAAATTGTATTCACCTTCAGTCGTGTCCAAACCTCTCCACTAGGAAGAATAACCAAACACAGAGGTGGAGTTTCTGGCAGCTGCTAGGCTCAAGCAGCCGCACAGAAATACCCATATGTGACTGCTGGAGCGTGAGCTGTGTTTCAGTGGACTGTACGAACTGCATACCAAGTAGTGTTGTAACAGAAAACTTGTGAACAAAATGCAGAAGCCTTGCAGAGCAGCTTCATCCCAAACCTGGAGGAGTTTAGCTCTTTATTCTGTCACTACTTGATATCCTGCCATTCCCTGCCCCAGCACGGCGACAGGAGATGCTTGTGCACGTACCCAGCTGCTGCAGGGGGTCCCCGGGGAAGGGGCTATGCTGCGAGTGGAGAAGTTACATTGTGAAACCTGTCATCAGCAGAAAATGGCACCTGCACTGCTACTGCCATTGCTGAACAGTTTTTCTAGCCGTCTTGCTTGCCAAATGTGCTGTCTTGCTCCCCTGAAGGTCAGAGAGATAAAAAAATGAAAAGGATTCATTACTACTCCAGTAAAATTATTTTTTTTTCAATAAATCAAACATTTTGTCCTTGAAAATCCATCAGCAGTAAGTATGTGGATATCTTCTACGACATGCTGCAGCTGGAGGCGCTGGGAACACCTCCCCCTCCTCTGAGCTGGCATCGCTCTGCAGCTGAACAGAGGAACCTGAAGGCCCATTTTGGTACATTCCCACAAGTACAAATGTTGAAAAATTTCCATACTTATTCTGAAAAGCGTGAATTTTGGCTCCAAGCTATTGCACAGTTGAAATCTACTATTCCTAAGCCCCTTCTGAAGGACAAGGGCAAGGTATGCAGGTGCTGGGCCACCTGTGTGAGCGGGGTGCCAGTGCTACCATGCCAGCAGGCAGCCAACTGCCCTCCCTGCTTCGGGATGTCCCCCAGAACCAGAGCCCACCTGCACCATGAAGAAGACCAACTCCTTTTTCACCCATGCGAAAGTGCTGAGACAGTGCCCTCACATGCCCAGCACTGCAGGACACAGCAAGGGACACAGCTCCCAGGCAAGGGCACGATGCCCCGGCACCCACCGGCACACGGGTTGCCTGGGCTGCAGCCAGCCCCGTCACCCCGCACGGGAGCTGCTGCCCGGCCGCCCGCACCTCGCCAGGCTGTGAGCACCCGCTGCTTCTGCACAAAGCTGGTTTTCTGAGTGTGCTTGGGCAGCAACTTCCCGGCAGAATGAAAATTACCTGGTGGACTGGCAGAGAAGGGGATGGCAAATCTGCACCAGTGCTCTTCCCTTGACATTGAAGTGGGGAGAAGTGCAGCAGCAAACTGAGTGGGAGGGGACACGGGGACAGGAGGCGCCTGCAAGGCACACACACGACCAGCAGTGTCTGGAGAGGGAGCGGGAAGCGACGAGGACAGACCCTGTGGAGATCTCTCCAGCCTCACGTGTAGCTGGGCATGAGAGACTATAAAGCTGACTGATTTTATGCTTGAATGAAATCTTGCCTTACACTCATGACTAATTAAATGCTCCCTTTTAACCACGTCTGAGCTGTGACTTGCTGACGCCGGATGCAGCGAGGCAAGTTGTGGGGAATGAGCTACACAAACTCCCAGAAAGAAAACAAGGTGGCAAAAATCAATTAATGTTTAAAGCATTCTTAGGTTCCATAATCTAATTAGACAAAAATGGCACAAAGAAAGTTATTTGATTAGTGTGTTTAACTTGTTCATGTCCACTAAGCATCCTTTTTCTTTTCCAAGGACCATTTGCCTGACTGTTCCCAAACCCCCAAACGTTTGCAGAAAATCCCACACAAGCCTTGTTAAATGAAACCCCAGTGAGCACCCTGTGCGCTTCAGTGGCTGCTGGGAGCATAGTACCTGTGCAACGCGCTGAACCCCGAGCTTGCTGTACACAACCCAGTGATCTTCTCCGTGTTGCTTTGATTTTGCGTATTCGAGGTTTCTGAAGAGGGTCTGATTTCCAGCAGGGGATGCTCAATACTTTAAAAAAGCCCCAGGCTTAACCTGAACATGGGAAATAGAAACCCTGAGATATGTGAGTCACATTCAAAAACCTTGGCTGTGGTTTTGGAGTGGGCTGGCAGTGAAGCAAGGCCATAGAAACGTTTCAAACTCTTCAGAGCCTCCATGTTGCATTTCCAAGCCTCTGGGTCTCTCTCCCTTTAAATGACTCCTCAGTTAGTTGGAATAATCAGAATTAATCTGTTTTATGCCAGCCCCCTGCAAGCACAACATATGCTACAGAGTACGAAACTGTGCCTCATGCAAGA